TGAAAGATAGTATTAGTGATGGTAAACTGTTGCTCTGCACAGAATTCTAGCAGAAGTCGACCATTATCATTGCAGTTTCCAACACCATGCTTGCCTAATATTCCTTTCCATGCTTCAAAATTCTTACCTACTCTGGCGTTGAAATCACCCAGGATAATGATCTTATCATCTGCGGGCACCTTCTGGGTAAGGCAGCGCAGATCAGTGTAAAATTTATCTTTTTCAGCAGGGTCGGCTTGGAGAGTTGGGGCATATATACTAAAGATGACAACGTGTTGCTTGTTATTTAGTGGAAGGCATAGGGAGATAATGCGGTCAGAATGACCTGTCGGCAGATTTTCGAGTTTAGGGACAATAGAGTTTTTGATCATGAAGCTGACACCTGAGAGATGTTTTTCGGTTCTGGGCTTACCTGACCAAAAGAGTGTGTAATTGGCACCATGTGCTCTGAGGCTGCCTTCCTCATGAAGGTGAACTTCGCTGAGAGCAGCAATGTCGATGTTGAGATGAGCCAGCTCATGAGCAATTAGGGCAGAACATCACTCAGGACGTCCGCTATTGGCAGAATCGAGCATGGTTCTGATGTTCCAACATGCTAGAGTTAATTTAGGTACACCTTGGAGGCAGGTTCATGCCTTTGTCTTTTGATCTTTGTGCGACCGCATTAGAAGAAGATGCCCGTTGGCCTGTGGTTAACCAACCGGGTGAAGGTGGAGATGAGCTTTGTTTAGGCCACCTTTTCTAGGCCCCTCTCCGAGTGGAGCAAGCAGTGCTGTCCTTGAAAAGGCTGCTTGGTCATTCAGGGTGCTGCCCCAAGAGACTGTCATCTCCAGTCAGTCTCAAATGACCAATATCCTGAACCGCCTGCATGCAGGGTTGAGTCTGCAGCTCCCAGTGCACCCTTCACCTGCCATTTCGACCCTCGCCTGTTGCTGCAGGACTTTTTGCATGTGGGTAAAGCCTTCAAGCCTGCGCAATGGGTTTTTTAGGTGAGATGCAGTATGCACGGAACTGAACCCACCCTTTAATCTTAAGGTTCATCTGCCAGGGCCCAGCAAGCTTGGACGGTGGCAGCGAGGTCCTCAGGACGTAGGTTTGATTAGAGTGACCTTCTCTTAGATGGATGGCCTTACAGGGCTAAGCGAGCTCCATCTGCCCGGGTTTGGGATTAGAGTTGTCCTTCTCCTAGGATGACTGCCAGAAGGCTAACGAGCTCATCCTGCCCAAGAATGTAGTGTAACTGGTCCTACGGTTTTGACCTATCTGGCACGGGCAACCCTACCGAAGGCACGTACCATTGCCAGCATAGCTCGCAACCACATAGGGGTGGACAGGCTATGTACCTGTTAGAGCGATTTGGGCAAGTCTTTAATTTCCTACTTTACTATCACCTATTTATATATAATCATAAGGAGATGCCCAGGAACAGCCCTTTGTCCTACCCACCCTTTCAGGATGTAACAGAGCAAAGCAAATATATCCAGAACATGCCGAACCTGGGCAGTAGCCGCAGGTAAGCCAAAAACAAAAAGACAAACAAACAAACAAACCAACCAACCAACCATTCTGGCCCCCGTACCCATCCAAGGCTGGGGTGCCTTTCAAGGCCCCAGCCTGGCTGGGAACCCCATCACTCTAAAAGGGACCCCACTACCCACCCTGACCATATCCTTCCCCCACTGTGTTAACACGTATCTTCACGAACACTGCTCACCTCTGACACTTCATACAGGATTGCCCCGCTCTCCCTCCTGTCAGTCCGAGGACCCCCACGGTCTGCTCGATACCCCTCTCCTCTATTCCCCCCTCCCTTCCCCTGTACCCCCCCCTTCCCCCCTCAAACCTGGAATGGCAAACCTCTGTGTGCTCTGAAGCTGCCCTCTCCTCCTCCACGGGCGTGCAGCAACTGCCGGCAAGGCTGCCCATCTCTCTCCCCTCTCACACTGTGGCTGTGCGTGGGGACCAAAATGTGTGCGCTCTGCGCACGCGGCGCAGGGAAGACTGCCGGCAAATCCGGGTCCCGCCCCACGTGCCCAGAGAGTGAGGGGACGCCCGGCGAGCCCGGGTCCCGCCGCTCACCCCGGGAGTGCAGGGAGGACTGCCGGCAAACATGGGTCAGAAGAGAGTGTAACGACAATTGAAATATACTCTTAAGCATAAGCAAAGAGCTGACGAAATTACTTAGTGGGAAATTTATACATCACAGCAAGAAGGGGATCCCTAAGAAACAGGAAGAAACCTGGTTTGTCCTACATGTGCCTGCATTGACCTTGCAGATCATCATACTCAAGAGAATCCTATCAGTCCATTGTGTCTAATCAAGACACAGCAGTAAATCTTCAGAAAAACAAATGCACACACAACATAAAACCATTTATCTCTCTAAAACTCAAAGTGAAAGGCAGTATTTTCAGACTATTTCTCATCAACAGGAATTATACACAAATTTTAAGATCAATACCATAATATACTGGAACTGCAACAGAATTCCTAATAACAGCAAGATTAGAACACTTACTCAATCTCATCCAGTAGATTCAGCATCTGGTCTGCTTGCTAATTTATTCACTAGCCTGGAGGGAAGACAGTCATACCTATTAAATCCTTGGCAAATTCCAGGCAACTGCTGACCTTGCCTGCATGTGTTAGTTTGTAATTGCCAGAGAGATCCCTGTCTCAGATGGCGCGGGTTCTGAGTTTACTATTGTAACATACTCCTTAGAGCCTGCAAACAGTCTGACGGGACTCATTAGCACACGTTTCTATCACACAGGTTTGAAAGGTGTGAAAAAAGAAAACTAAAAGCTCCCTGCTGCTATCACAGATGAAACATTTTAGCAGTTTAGAGTCTGAGGTGTGAATACAGAGTTCTAATACTGAAATTACTGCAACAGCCCCCTTTGAGATCACTAGGGAAACTGGGCTTTCAAGGTTGGGGTTCTCAGCAGCCTCAAAACCATCCTGCTTTTTCTCTAAAAAAGTCAGACTGATGTGATAAAATCCTATGTGCACATCTTCAGGTTTGTACCTTTCCTATACTAATTTTATTCTAAATGGCTATTATAGGAAAAAAAAAATATCAAAAGGATATGTTGATTCAGGGTAACTTTCCAAAACCTCTAGGACTTCAAGTTGGGAGAGAAAAAACAAGCAAATATCATGTTGAAAAACTACTGTGTTATTCAAGAGTGTTTAATGCACAAATGATTTTCTTATATTCCCAAACAACAACTGTTCAAGAAAAAATGCCTTGAAATGCAATAGTGATTTCAGTCCTTTTTTTTTCCCTCCAGCAACAAAGCAATAAACCACAGGGCACAGGGAAGAGTTCAGCACCACAGCAAAAGAGATAACTACTTTTATAAGCCAGCAACATAGTACTTTTATGAAGTGAAATTTGAAGTTCCTCAACACAGAATGAAGAGTATGAAAATACAAAATACTAATCTAATGCAAAATATTTTCAGTTCAAATCAGATTTACAAGCTTCTTATTACTAAACAGAAACTGAATGTCTTAGTCTCCATTACATGGAAAATGTACAATGTTTGTAACATCAATGTGATTTTCTAACTGATATTTAACTCCATGTGCTACAACACACTAAACTGAAAATTTATTTAGATACCTTTTCTCTCCCTCATACCTCATTCTCTACCAGCATAAAGAGCAAGCTAGTATGGATACCTTAATTCTACCGGTAAGCAGTTACTTAGTTGTTTGAAATTAAAATGGCCAATAGAAATATCTCCTAGAGACAAGAAAAGCATACATATTATTATAGCTTAAATCCTTACACAATTTACAGAGTTCAAAGGAAATTTAGCTATACATCAGTAAAAACTAAAGCTATAGAGAAAAAACTGGCATGTTCTGACATGGCACTGTCTAATAAACATCCATAAAGATCATATCCATAGGCAAAAAGAGTGAAACTCCAAAACCTTAACTGAAAGATTTTCTGTCTAACATGCTTAACTGTTTCATTTAATGCTCATAAAAATCACACACTTTGGGATCAGAAGGGAGCAGCATTATCATATAGTTCATCTCTTTCAGAACTTAAGACAAAATTTAGCATCTATTGTAGCAAGACCAATAACATCATGGGATTAGTACATAGTTTTATGAGAACCATTCTGTGTTCATTTTGCTTTATAAAGTCCAAGTGGAGATTCATTCCACCACAGTCCTCGGTCAGGTTGTTTGAAAGTTTGATGATAACTAATAAAAATGTCAACCTTTTTTCCAGGTTTTACTTATCAAGTTTCAATTTCTGGCCAACAGATTTTCTCATTTCTTCATACACTGAATCAAACAGTCACATTTAAAATCTGTAAACATAGGTTTTTCCATGAGCAAAGTCAGAAGATTGACCTCCTTTTGTCTCCCTCACTTTGATTTTCTGAGAATACCTTAATGCAGAGGACATGGTCATATTCAGATTCTGCACACAGACATAAGTAATTTCTGTTGCAGAAGAACGTTTCCATCAAGTTACATAAGCTGCCACATTTTAGTCATTCAGTATGAGAACCTATATCACAGGTAAGATACTTTAAACACTTAGTATCACAGCCAATCAAGTCAATAAAAGTCCTCTTGGGGACACCCATGACTGTGTACAGCTAAAATGAATATGATACTTTCAGAGTATAGACTTTTCATAGAGCAAAAGGTTGCCTCTTCTGCCAGAAACTAAAGGCTTCCAACCTCTGCCTGCTGGTTAATGGCACCAGAACAGCTTTTCTTGACAAATACTAATAGAAGCAAAACAGTGGGAATTGCCAAGACCCTGCTGGTATCCAAGCAGAGAGGAACATTCACTACTAGATGCCAGATATTTAATGACATAGCAAATCTGGATGGTTGCACTGATGGATCACATATGCCTGATTACTTAACAGATATAAATGGAATCAGACAAAGAACAAGCAACTGAGATGCCCTTTGAAGCAACAATGTACCCCTTAACTAGTTATTATACAGTAAATGCTTACCATAGACTGTGTAAAACTGAGAATTTCCTGAGTGGTATCATCGGAATTTACTCTGATCAGCCTTCCAAGTTTTGGGAAAGTTACAATCATAAAAGTTATACTTCTGTTTCCTGCACTGATCACATCACTGGTTACAGCTTTAAGATCATGTTGTGAAATAGGTTTCCTGGAACCTAAAAAAAAGTCAATTACAGGAAACACATATTTACAAGAGCAATTTTACAAAAGGTTAAGTTTTGTATGCACAACTCACACTCTCACCCAAGTATTCTACTTAGCCTTTTAATAATGTTTTATAAGATCAGCAGGCTTACTCTTTTTCTAGTTACCTTCTAGTTGCAACTCTTTTTTCAATCAAAATGGCCATTAGTAGGATGTATCTTTGTTTTACAAATGTAAAAAATGCAGTACTCTTCAGCACATGGAATCGCTAAACACTAGCTTCTGCAAAAACAACCCAAAGCAAGGAATAGAGCATGTATAAGAAGCTCTGCTCCTACATGACATATCTAGAACTGAATTCATACTCCAATGTTTTGGGTATTCCTAGTTGCCACAGAAGATAGGATGATTTGGCAGGGAGAAGCCTCAACACAGTAAAGTTTTCAGTGAACACATAAACCAAAGCCACTTATTAACAGAAACATGAAGCATGCTTTATCAATATGAAATATTATTTTCATTAAATGAAATTAAAACATCAATACTGAATTAAACAAATTAGGAAGAACATCCTATAACAGAAATGACTGCCTGAACTGAAATAATGTATTATTTATTAAGAGGTAAAAAAATCCTTTTGATACATAGCACCGCACTAACCTAACTAAAGTTACTAAATTCTGGCTTAAAGATGAAAAAGATTATTACAAGCTTTCTGGCATTTAGTTAAACACACAATTTTTGACACACATAGGTGTGATGAAACCACACTTAGTAATTTCCTGAAAGAAAAAAATAAGTTTTATTTGGCTTTTTTTGAAGCACTTTCAAGGTATACAGTCAGCACACTAAAATTCACGTTCAGTAATAATTTCGGAGGAGCAATAGATTCCGATAACCCTATTCTCCCTATATCTCCACTTCTGCCTCAGTTTTCACATTTTCTTTTTTCTTAAGCACCAAGCTTTTGTAGGTTTCAATACATAATTTCAGATATATACTAGCAGTATATATCCTTGAAGTCTGAATTATCAATCCACCTTCAATAAACCATAATGTTTATACAGGAATAACACAAAATAACATATATATGCTACAATATTCAGAGGAAAGGGGATGCTTTGCAAGCCATTAGTAACATCAGGTTTACCTGCAGCTGTGCCATGGTTCAAATCACAACTACTTTGAAGGAGAGTTGTTATAACAAAATAAGATCTTCTGGCTCTGTCTGTTTTCCCATTTTTACCTTCCCATATCTCTCTGTGTCCATACTGTTTTGAAAAGTGAAGCTGTCCCTCAGGTCTAGAAAAATTCTCCCACACTGTATCTAATTCAAGAAAGCTTCCTTCTCTTCCTCTCTCTTCTTTTCCCTTTTTCGTATGACAGTCAGGGAGGGAAGCATGACCTTGTGTATACAGCAGATGTGGTCAGAAATTTACAACTTAGAGCACCAGTTAATCAAACCACATAAATCTGAAAATGCAGTTGTTTATCAATAACCTGCTACTTATGTAAATCAGGCCTCATTGCCTTAACAGAGTAGGACAGAGTAACTCTAAAACATGGTCATACTGTAGTGATGAAAGTTACTGCTCCATTTTTTCATAATCATACCAGGTTATCACACCACCACCACCACAGTGTAGGGCCAAGGATGTCTGTCACAGAACCCTGTTCCTTCCTCATAGACCTGACCTCACTTCACTGCTCAGCACAGGCTGAAATATAGCCTAGGGCCACAGACAACAGAGTCTATCATGCTCTCCTGTAATATAGGATCCTCCCCCAAACATAACCTTCTCCTTCACCACTCCTGTCCTGAGAGTTCAGAACCTTCTCCAGCACCCACAGTGCACCCACTACACCCAGTAGTTCTCCTCTAGTCTTCACCCACCCAACAGACTGGGTGAAGGAAAGTGAAGTGAGAACACTGTCCGTGTGTTCTCAAATACAGAAGCAGAGAGGTCACAAAGACAACCCAACCCAAAGGAACAGAGAGGAGGAAGACACACAATAAGGACACATGATGCCGAGTAGGGCCAAACTAATCCATACAATTAGAGTGCAACAGCATAAGGTTGGTACATAATAATTTTGTTACACATTTTTACATTTAAGATTTGGAAAATGCTTTGGCATGAGCATTCTGCCTATCACTAGTAGAGAGTTATAAATCATCTCTTACACACCAATATTGCATGGTAATAAGCTTTGTAAGTGGATTTATGTGAATCCCATTTATATTGACTGAATTAGAAGATCACGTTGCTACAATCTCACTTTTTGTTGCCTGTGTTTAAGTGGCTTTCATGGCAAACCTTTGTTTATGCAGCTTATAATTGGGAAGTTTAAGAAGATAAAGTGCTCCTCTTCTGTATCCAATTAATAAATCAAGGTACAGGTTAACACCTCTAGAAATTTGCCAATTCTCCATCTCTCTCTCACTCTACAGACTGTATTCAGAGAAAAAAAAAGGTAGCACAGGCAAAAGTGTGATGCAAGACATTGCTCAGAGAAAACTAACCTATTACTCCTTTAATCCTGCAATTAATGTTAGATTACTACCTCAATCAGGGACTACTCTAGCCAATGTCAAGGAGCAAATGGCTCTGGTGAGACCCTCTTACATCAATTCCCGCAGTAGTACGACTTCATTTAAAAAATACTTAGCTACTGATCCAACTAGTTACAAATGCCCCAATATGAACCAAAGTTTTCAGTCCTTCTGATTCATCAGTCTCTCCATAACTCATCTTAAACAATAAAAAAGTGAATTAGCAATCTGCAGAGTTTACATGTGCTATTCAGAATCTCACAGACGCAAGCTCCATTCTGCTTTTACCAATCAATATCACAACCATCTAGGACACCTCTAAATATTTTAATATAATAGAGCTTTTTAACAAATCTGAATGGGGAATATCCAGAGCTTAGGCAGACAGTGCTATTGTCACACTGTGCTTGTATATTTCACTGTCAGTTTCTATTGACTCCAAGCATATCAAAAAGTTAGACTACAAAGCAAAAAAGCAATATGTTGTTTGAGAAAACATAATCCTTCTTTTCAAAATCATACAGATAGATGTTCCCAGGTACAGTTTTCCATAGTTTAGTCAGTTAGGTATCTGACAAATAACTCTATATTATGCAATATTTTCAACTGGATAAAATCAAAATAATCTTAAAAAACAGACCTAGAAAGACTCTGAGTCCTCTGTTCTCTTCAAGGCTAATGACCAGCGTATGTGCTGTGATGCTAAAAATCTGTCGAGGTGCAAAGTTCAAACCATCTGTCACCTGAGAGTTGAAGCCTCCAGACATTGCTCCTGTAGAAAACGAAATCATAAATTTATTCTTGTATTACTCTGTCACACAAAACACAAGCATACTTTTGGACACCTTTTGCTCTTGGCTACAGTGAAATATTGTTGAGGAATATATTTGGTGCAGGTAGCTCAATGTGCAGCTGCAGTGCCAGCTACAGATTGAGCTCTGGGTGGCAGGATCCCCAGGCAAGAGGGTCCCAGGCAAGAGGGTCCCAGGCAAGAGGCCACGAACTGCCCACCCTTTGCATAACAAAGGGCACATGGACCTGTGGCCCAGCTGGACACAGAGAAACAAGAAGAGCCAGGAACTCCAGACCTCCTTGTGCTTAGACTGTGAGGGTATAAAAGCCCAGGGGTCCTTGTTCAGGGTCCCACCTCAGAGGCTCCCAGCTTGAGCTGTTATTCTGTTGTTGCATCATGATTAAATTATATTAAGGAACAGGTGCCTGAGATAGGTGCTATGGGAAACCTGGGACTGAACTGTTAAGGAAACCTAATCTGACTGTGTGAGTGGTGTGTATAGGGTGAGCAGTGTGTGTAGGGAGTCAAGCAAAGTACCTGTTGGGTCACTGCAACTGCCCACTGTGAAAGGGCCTCGGTCTCCTGTGGTATAAGTGTGACCACCTGAGTGACTCCTGAACAGAGCAGACTGGAAAGTTTCCTTAACAATATATATCCAAAGTCATCCTGACAGCAACTTTTGATCAGAACCTTTGTATCTTAATTAGAATTAAATAAATTGATAATGCAGTTAAGACCTTCCCAAGGAAGAACTACTGGCTGCTGTTTACAGTGAAGGTCAACATCCCTTAGATGTAAATTAGGAAGAGTGGGCCGCCTTCTCTTTCTTTACTGACCCAGTGGAGCTGAAACCAAGTTAAACTTTGGGAAACAATGACTTCTAGATTTCCAACTTCTTTTATATCTTAGGAGGGTCCAAAGCACTTAAGCAGTCACATTTTGCCAAAGAAGGAACTGAGGGGGAAAGTAACTAGAATGTTCTTTCCTTTTGTTTTACGTTTAAAGGTCTGTATCAACCCTCGGGTTGTTTCCTTTGCCTCTTTGCTGCGCTTCAGCTTTGCTGAAGTATGTATGTTGTGACAGCTTAAAATATTTCAGAGGTTATGTGTACTCATAATAAATGCACATTTATGCCTTTAATCTTAGGACCTCTGCATACTTTGGCACAAGCAATAGCAAAATACCTCCAGGAGTCTGAGTGGATTCCTGTAAAAATACATCTCTCAGTACTGACTGACTGCTTCAAGCAGAGGCTTCCCAGACTGTTCAATTAGGTAGAGAGATTGAAACATTAGCTGTTGCAAAGAGTTACCACGCTCTTCTACTTGCTTTGCCCAATTTAGCCACAAGATACTGCTAAAAGAATATAGATCCTGAAAGCCAGAGGGTGCTTGCATGTGAAGATCAGAACACCCTGCCTAACTACAAATTTACATATCAGAAGAATCAAATGTGGGTTCTGAGATTATAGTTAACAACACCCCTAAATTAATAACACCCCTGGCTCTTATATCCAGCCAGACAATGAAGCAGTTCTGGAAGATCATGTCATATAGTTTTTATTTTAACAGTTTTTATTCTCTGATGTTTTCTCCTGATATAAATGAAGAAGCTGCTTATTTTAAAAAGGCATCAGGGAGTCTAGTATTTGCACTAGGTTGGAAAAAAAACACCCTCATTTGCTTTTTTGGATAATGCAGGTCAACTGCTTGATTGACACAGATGTTTTGTCATCGGCAGTCAGGAACAGAACTACATCTCGAACTTCTGCTTGGGTGGAGCATTTATTACTTTATCAATTATTTTATCAATTAATTTTTAAAGACACATCTGATCAGAAGCGATAAAAAAGACATCAAAAAGTTGCACTGAAAAGACATTACGACTTCAGAACCAACAAGAGTTCAATTCAGTACTGTCCTTAGAAAAATAATGGCAGGATTTCTGGGCAGACCCCATACTGAAAAAGTGGGAGGGAAGTACTCTAGAGTGAAGGAAGGGTGGAAAAGACAAGGAATTCTCATGCTGAAAGAGGAGTACAAGAAAAGGAAAGGTACATTCTGGTTCTGCTTTTATGCTGGTGACAGAACAATCAGGGATTATGGAAGAAACAAATAAAACATTCAAGGTGACAATATGAGAAAGACAGGAGAGATTTGCAACTCACAGCACAGAATTAGCAGCATAACGTAACGCATGAGGCTGAGTAAAGATGAAGGGAAAGCTCTGAGGTCTAACTTAAAAGCATAAAAGCAAAGTATGGTAGTACTTTCTTTAGTACTCCAGTACAAAAGACACTAAGAATGGAGAGTCACTGTCAGGTACAGACGTAAAAGATGCGTGGTGCCATGAGGAGTAGCCAGGGAATGGAAGAGCTGTCTCAGCCAAGCGGATGATGCTCTTCTCCTTGGAAGGGCTACAGTGGGTAGAAGAGCAGATACTTCCCAAGAGGACCCAAAGAAGCTAGTGCACACTGTAAGACTGACAACAAGGGACAGAGAAAAGGGATAAAAATCTGAATGACAGCAGAACACAAGGAAAGACCACAGGACAAGGCTGGGAGCAAGAAAATGAGAGTAAGAAGTACATTTCTAGCAACAGTTCAAGATGAGAGAGGAAAGAAAATCACTGACAGAGAAAGGAAGTAAAATATCCAGAGTCCTTTCTGAAGCACTGGAGGCCATGAGGCTGAGCAGATAGAGCAGCTGCAAGACCTGACATATGACCTGAGCAATTTTATGTTATAAAATTACTGTACAAGCCACACTCCCACTCACTTGAAAACAAAATTTTCTGTTCTTTTCACTTTTATTAATCAAGATTCACTCCCTAAGACTACAGATATGCATGTGCCCTTTCAGGAACACAGAAGGGAACTGATTTCCTCACACTGAGACTTCCACTGTCCTACCACCATAGGGGTTTTTACATGTCAAAGTCTCCCTCGGAACAATTCAAATAGCTTGGCTCACTTTTGTCGTGCTCTTGACCTTTAATTTCCTGGTCAAATTATTTGAGCAGGATTCTTGCAGCTCACCAGCAACTGCTTGTAAAGTGACTTCAGTAACATATACACACTCTGCCAGACAGTGCATCATAAGTCAGAGCACATTAACCTCATGAAGACACAGCATAGATCTGGAGTGACTGCTGCAGCCAAGGGAGTACCGGAATTCCAGCCTGCCTTGGGGCTGGCAAGACAGTGCTGTACCTCTTCTATCTCCATCCTAAAAAAAATGGTTTATTCCTTCTGTAGAATAACTTTCTTCTTTTGGCTGAGGTAACACAGTGATATGGTTTGAAGCTGGCTCCCTGCCAAGTCTCCAAACCTTACC